TGACATGCCGTCGTGTAAATAAGATAAATAACATAAGGCTATTTAGTTTGTTTAATAAAAGAACAAGGTATAGACCTGTTCTATATGAAAGGTAACTTTAAATGACTTCTGTTGTGATCTGGCGCTATGGAGAAAATAAAATTAACTTGACCTTCAAGGGGGGCGGGCAGCCCCCCTAATATAATGGCAGGGGAAACACTGTATATATATTTTTATAAAAATTTTTTTTTTTAAATGACCGATCGTTTCATTAGACAAGACCCTTATTCTTTGGCTGGGATCGTGTAGAGCCCTTTGAAGCTGCACTGAAACTTTTGGACCTTCAACCCTTTGATCCCTGTTGAAGTCCACTAGCTATATGGAGAAAAATCCTGGAATGTTTTCCTCAAAAACCTTTATTTCTTCTCGACTGAAGAAAGAAAGACATGAACATCTTGAGTGACATGGAGGTGAGTAAACTAGTGCTTTAATACTCGCATAAACTACTTTTATGGTGCTTTTGTGTCTGTTTTGAAGCTTGAAAGCTTCATGTGAATTAAATTAAATTGCATGGACAAGATATATAAAAAAAACATCAATAGATAAAAAAACATCTTTTATGTAAAATTTTGCAGCGGCCACCAGTGAAGAGAACACGGGCATCATCCAGTGATCGAGATGGAGAGGAGAGTGGATCTCCCTCAGAACCCGAACCATCACCCAGCTCGGACTCTGACTCCGGCAAAAACAGCGACCAGGTATTCTCGCCCGAAATTTGCTCAAACATCTCATAGCTTCATTTCTACCAAAAAATGCTGTGTAGTTAATAAAATGCACATTGAAATCATACAAACAAGTTACTAATGTGTTCTCTAGGACTTCACGCCACAGAAGGAGTCGGGCGGTCGCGGCGGCAAAAAGCTAGCAGGCAGAGGCAGGAGGAAGGTGAGACAACCTCATTGACCTCATGTGGCCATCTATAATTACATACTTGCTTGATCTTATACCATTTTTTTGTATCATTTTAGAAGGCATCATCTGGCTCCAATTCAGAATCGGGCTCCCAGTCAGATCAGAGGGCCGCCAAGAGCGATTCAGAAGAAGAGAAGCCCCGGCCGGCCGTCTCTGGATCCGAATCGCAGTCTGGATCCAAATCCGACTCTGATTCAGAACCTCCTCCTGCAAGGAAAGGCCCACAAGGGCGCAAGAAAGGTGAGAACATGCGCTTTGCAACGTGAAGCCAGCACATATTATAATTAGTTTTAATGGTTGAGTAGTTGCGTTGAATGGCAGCACAGTGGATGGAAACTTTACCTGAGACGGTTGTCCTCGGATATCAGGAATCCTAGACAAGTACATCAGAATACTAAAAGACACTTTTCTTTTTGCGTCATTCTCCAAGCGGAGAAACCTCCACCAAAGTCACGAGGAAGGAAAACCAAACCAGCTCCAGAAAGGGCTCCTTCCTCTTCATCAGACAGCGACAGGTGAGTTTGGTTTATCTGTTTGTTTTAAGCATGTTTACACTGATGATGATAATAGTATTTCCTTTCCGTCATAAATACGTTATGTATTTATAGTTAAATTCATAGTTCACCCAAAAATGAAAATTACCCCATGATTTACTCACCCTCAAGCCATCCTAGTTCTATATGACTTTCTTCTTTCAGACGAATACAATCAGAGTTATATAAAAAATGTCCTGGCTCTTCCGAGATGACCGAGATTTTGAAGCCCAAAAAAGTGCATCCATCCATCATAAAAAGTGACCCTCCCATAGACAGCAAAGATCCTAACACGATCAAGGCTCAGAAACGTAGCAAGGACATCTGTAAAATAATCCATGTGACATCACTGGTTCAACCGTAATTTTACGAAGCTACGAGAATACTCAAAACAAAAATAACGACTTTATTCAACAATTCGTCTTCTCCGCGTCACCCTATAGCGCCATTTTGGAGAGCATCACCTACGTAAACAACATATGCAAGAAAAGGTATTCTCGTAGCTCCGTAAAATTACGGTTGAACCACTGATGTCACATGGACTATTTTAACGATGTCCTTGCTACGTTTCTGAGCCTTGATCATGTTAGGATCCTTGCTGTTTATGCAGGGTCAGACAGCTCTCAGAATTCATCAAAAATATCTTAATTTGTCTTCTGAAGATGAACGAAGGTCTTACAGGGTTGGAACGACATGAGGGTGAGTAATTAAAGACAGAATTTAAGTTTTTGGGTGAACTATCCTTTTAATGTCGTCAAAAATACAATTCACATGATCATGAGGTGAAAGAACATACAAATATTCTGTGAATTTTTGAGGAACACATAGATGATCGTTTGAGTTTGAATTTTTATTCAAAGTGACAGCGAGACAGACCGCGTCAGCGAGTGGAAGAAGAGAGACGAGGAGCGGCGGAAGGAACTGGAGGAGCGAAGGAAGAAAGAGGAGGCTGAAGAGCTCCGTCGGCTCCGGGAGCGAGAGAAAGAGGAGGACGAGAAAAGGAAAAAGGAGAAAGAGAACAAGGCCAGGAGAGGAAGCAGCGGCAGCAGCTCGGACGATGACGTGGATGATCACCCTCTCAAAAAATCCAAGAAACCTCCGCCTCCCCCCATCCCTGCACCTTCAGACTCCGACTCGCCACCAGCTGCAGAGGCCAGTCACCAGAACTTTACCCAGACTCTTTCTACTAGTGTCGCTGCTCAAAATGTTGACTGTTTGGGTTGTTGTGTTTCCTCTTTAGGGGAAGAAATCCGCCAAACGTCACGACAGCCAGAAAGGGCGGCAAAAGAAAGAGAAGGAGCTGAAAGAGAAAAATGAGAGGAAGATAAAAGAAAGGAAGCCTCAGAGATCAGAGGAGAAACACAAAACGAGGTATGTATTTGGGAGTGTTAATTTATGATATATTATAGTATTTATTAGTATTCTGAATTAGCTTTTATTTTTATATTTGCAGTTTTCAGTTTAATTTTATTTGAAGTTTTAGTAATTTTATTATGTGTTTTGTCACTTTTATTATTTTTTGTGTTTTTATTTACCTTTAATTTACTTTTATTTCAGTAAGTTGCCAAAGCAACATTTTTAGTTTTTTTCTTAATGTTTTTAATGAATTTTTTAAAATTCTTTTTGTATTTTATTTGTATTTCAATTCATAAAAAAAGATTTTAGTTTAAAGAATTTAGTTTAGTAGTTTTAATTAACAAAAAACAGTATAATTGAGATACTATTATAATTTTTATTGATATTTTACATTTTAATTAGTTTTCATTTTTGTATTTTTTTGTTTTCATTTTAATGTTAGTTAATGTTTTAGTTATTTAGTTGTGGGTTTTTTTCTCTTTTTAAAATTAGTATGTAGTTTTTATGTCATTTTCAGTTTTAGTTAGTTTAGTATATTAAGTTAAACTAAATGAAAATGAGAAATGAGAGAGAATTTTTAAAAATGTATTTAAATATATATATATTTTTCCATTTAATGTTTATTTTATTTAAAGTAACAAAAATGTGTTGTTGGTATTTTTTTTTGTGTCTTATAATAATTTTTTTCATTTTAGTTAACTATAATAACCCTGACAATAACACCACTGTTTCCCAGAAGGCCTAAGCCAGAGAAGCCTAAACGAAAGCCAACGCGTCCACCTGAGAAGAAAGTCGAGAAGAAAAAAGGTCAAATGAAACATGTTCTCATGGCTGTTCAGTCCTTTTGAGTTATTTTACGGGCAGTCAGACTTTAACTCTTGTTTCTGTCGCCCTGTATAAATTCAGAACCCTCACCTGAAGAGAAACTACAGAAGCTCCACACAGACATCAAGTTTGCACTGAAAGTTGACAACCCAGTAAGTATTGACATAATCAGCCTACCCATGTCGCTTAAAACACAAAATTAAAATGACCGGAAACATTGTTCTACCAATTTTACAGCAAAGTCTAGTATTCAAACAAGCAATGAGTTTGGTCATATTCTCCTAGGATGTTGATTCATTGAATCAGTTGATTCAAACCTGTTTTAGTTCATATGGTTCAGTGGTATTGAATGAACCACACATGACCTCTAAACTTTCAAAATGCTGTTGAATTTAGTCTATAATTATAGCAGAGGCTGTACGTGTGAAAATGACGTGATGTGTGAATCTCCTGGTATCATTCTGCGTCTTCTGCTTCCTTTCAATCTGTAGGACATTGAGAAGTGTCTGCAGGCCCTGGACGAGCTCAGCTCAGTACAAGTAACCACTCAAATCTTGCAGAAGAATACAGATGTTATTGCCACACTCAAAAAGGTACAAACATTTGCCATTTATAATCCATTTAAAAGGATAGTTCACCCAAAAATGAAAATTCTGTCATTAATTACTCGCCCTCAGTTCGTTCCAAACCTGTAAGACCTTCGTTCATCTTCGGAACAGAATGTAAGATATTTTTTATGAAATCCGAGAACTCTGTGATCCTCCCAGAGACAGCAAGGATCCTAACACGATCAAGGCTCAGAAACGTAGCAAGGACATTGTTAAAATAGTCCATGTGACATCAGTGGTTCAACCGTAATTTTACGAAGCTATGAGAATACTCTTTGTGTGCAAAGAAAGCAAAAATAACGACTTTATTCAACAATTCGTCTTCTCCGCGTCACCCTATAGCGCCATTTTGGAGAGCATCACCTACGTAAACAACGTATGTATGTGGATATGTTGTTTACGTTCAGATCAAAGTGTAAACCGCGTAAACAACGTATCCGCGTTCATATGTTGCATACGTTGTTTACGTATGTGATACTCTCCAAAATGACGCAACAAGAAACAAACTTTTTGGCATAATTTAATTTTGATTTAAATAATAATAATAATTACAGGGATTAAAGTTCCGTCGCTACGACGGATTTCCGTCAGTTCATAAAGACAGTGACTTGCCGCCACCTGCTGGCGGATTTAGTTTCATTTTTAATTGCACTCATGAGCCTCATTAAACGTCTGAAAATGTACCTACAAGCCACTTTTGTGTTCCTCTGTGCCATCTGTGCCACCTAAATTATTTTATTAATACTAATTTCATATGATTGGTAACTTATTTGTCTTATTCTACATAGTGTTTTAAATAGAAATTTTAAAAAGATTATAAACATGTGTCTTATAATAATTTTTTTCATTTTAGTTAACTATAATAACCCTGACAATAACACCACTGTTTCCCAGAAGGCCTAAGCCAGAGAAGCCTAAACGAAAGCCAACGCGTCCACCTGAGAAGAAAGTCGAGAAGAAAAAAGGTCAAATGAAACATGTTCTCATGGCTGTTCAGTCCTTTTGAGTTATTTTACGGGCAGTCAGACTTTAACTCTTGTTTCTGTCGCCCTGTATAAATTCAGAACCCTCACCTGAAGAGAAACTACAGAAGCTCCACACAGACATCAAGTTTGCACTGAAAGTTGACAACCCAGTAAGTATTGACATAATCAGCCTACCCATGTCGCTTAAAACACAAAATTAAAATGACCGGAAACATTGTTCTACCAATTTTACAGCAAAGTCTAGTATTCAAACAAGCAATGAGTTTGGTCATATTCTCCTAGGATGTTGATTCATTGAATCAGTTGATTCAAACCTGTTTTAGTTCATATGGTTCAGTGGTATTGAATGAACCACACATGACCTCTAAACTTTCAAAATGCTGTTGAATTTAGTCTATAATTATAGCAGAGGCTGTACGTGTGAAAATGACGTGATGTGTGAATCTCCTGGTATCATTCTGCGTCTTCTGCTTCCTTTCAATCTGTAGGACATTGAGAAGTGTCTGCAGGCCCTGGACGAGCTCAGCTCAGTACAAGTAACCACTCAAATCTTGCAGAAGAATACAGATGTTATTGCCACACTCAAAAAGGTACAAACATTTGCCATTTATAATCCATTTAAAAGGATAGTTCACCCAAAAATGAAAATTCTGTCATTAATTACTCGCCCTCAGTTCGTTCCAAACCTGTAAGACCTTCGTTCATCTTCGGAACAGAATGTAAGATATTTTTTATGAAATCCGAGAACTCTGTGATCCTCCCAGAGACAGCAAGGATCCTAACACGATCAAGGCTCAGAAACGTAGCAAGGACATTGTTAAAATAGTCCATGTGACATCAGTGGTTCAACCGTAATTTTACGAAGCTATGAGAATACTCTTTGTGTGCAAAGAAAACAGAAATAACGACTTTATTCAACAATTCGTCTTCTCCGCGTCACCCTATAGCGCCATTTTGGAGAGCATCACCTACGTAAACAACGTATGTATGTGGATATGTTGTTTACGTTCAGATCAAAGTGTAAACCGCGTAAACAACGTATCCGCGTTCATATGTTGCATACGTTGTTTACGTATGTGATACTCTCCAAAATGACGCAACAAGAAACAAACTTTTTGGCATAATTTAATTTTGATTTAAATAATAATAATAATTACAGGGATTAAAGTTCCGTCGCTACGACGGATTTCCGTCAGTTCATAAAGACAGTGACTTGCCGCCACCTGCTGGCGGATTTAGTTTCATTTTTAGCGTATCATTTCAGTTATTTGAATCATATTTCTGTATTCAAAATTGTATATTTAAAACATTAATCTCCACATGAATTTATGAATTTAATTGCACTCATGCTACCTCTGAGCCTCATTAAACGTCTGAAAATGTACCTACAAGCCACTTTTGTGTTCTTCTGTGCCACCTCTGTAGTACAAA